ATCATCGCCTGGCCCAATTTGGTCTTTTTAAAAAGACAAAAAGTTTGAGAGCCTGAAGCAGAAGGATCGCCCTAAAGCTAAGGCCGGCCTGCAATAATTAATGATGCTCTCTGTCTTGCAGACAGACACAGACACACACACACACCTTGGCTGTTACCAGTAGACGAGTATTGAGGCTTGTCTGAGTTGTGGGTAGCTGACGGGCTGAACCTCAGCCAGAGCACCCTCTGGTTATACTTGCCAAAGTTCCAAGCATATCTCCTGGCATAAGAAAGCCAGTGCTGGGACCTGAAGAACGTCCAGCCCCTACTTCAGCTCCCCCTGGCTCAAAACCAGATCTGGCTGCCAAATCCTATAGAAACAGACTTGGTTGCCATAGCAAAACCATACACACTTGCCCTGCTTTTCCCTTGATGTCCCCTTAGCACATCTTTCCCACCCCAAACAGGCAGGGTGTGCCAGCCAGGGCCGCTAGAGTGTCAAATCCCTCGGATTTGAAGATCTCACAGAATTTCTAAAGCCCTGGGCAGAAGCCTGTTCTGCTTCTTCCCTTCCCAGCACCCCAGCCTGACTTCCGCCCTCAGTTTTCCTGCTGTCTAGACCCACTGCTCCAACTCTGCATGGGTCCCAGCATTCTGTCTCCTTCTTACACCCTATATCCAACCTCCACGTCTTCCCTGCTCAGGCTGAACTTCTTCAGAGTTCAGGGAATGAGCTTCAACCCCGCTCCTGCCAGTGGCACTAGCTTTACCTCACCGTTTTTCCTTTCCCAAGTCTGCGGTGTAGGAATCAGTCTTTTTCTAGAAGTGCAGAGGGCTTCCCAGAGGAGGGGACTAGCCAGATCCAGAGCAGACAGAGCTCCTGAGATATATATCATCCCACTCGAGGGCCTTGCTATCTAAAACAAATCCAACTGGTGGCAACTGATCCAGGTACCTGCTTTCCTAGTAGTTTTTCTTCCCATCCATAGAAGCTGGAGTAACTCAGACAGAATGTAGGGGCGGAGACCTGCCCAGTCTCATCCCACACTATGTACACTCATAGCAGCTCCATCTCACCCCCTCTCTACAGTGGGTATCCCGCCCCTGGATGGCCCTATTTCTTGGTTTCTACCCTGTCATCTTCTTCTACCTGGGACTTTCAAGCATCAAGTCCTCCATTATCAACTCATTCCTAGGGGTCTGTTTCCCTTCAGTCACATGACTCTTCCCTAGGACTGGAATTCTGGGGACACAGAGTATCTCGTGAAGGATGGGGGGTTGGTAGGTTCCTCCTGAACAAGCCAATCAGAGACCTGATAGAGTGCGAGGTGCCCACTTGCTGTTAAGACCAGACTTACAGGAACCCTGGTCCACAGTAAGATACAACCAGCTGCTAAGTTTTAAACCTGGGTTCAGGCTGGCACTTCACACACATGGTACTCGTGACAGGGCGATCATGACCATGGGCCCTAGACTCAGACAGACCTAGGTTCAAATTCTCCTTTGACCATTCAAGACAGGAATGACTGTGGAAGTTGCTTGGCTTTGAAGGAGACTGGATTTTCCACTATAAAACACTGTAACAGCTGTCAGAGACAACATAACTAAAAGCTATGGATACACCAGGAGCAGCAGCTCTGACAGACTGGAGTGGAGGCTGAGAAAGGCCAAACGGCCAGCCCACAGACAAGCCAGTGTGTGGGCACAGAAAGGCTGCCCCAAGCTTTGTTCCTTCGGCTCCCTCCATTGCTGTCAGCAAACTAGGAGCCCCAGTGAACCCTCAGGCTAGCCCCTTGCTGAGCAGAGCCAGGCAGCCCATCACAGAGACTAAGCTGCCCATCTTACATCCTCCTTCAGCTGTACTTTCTTCCTATTCCCCACACCAGACATTGCTACATCCAAGATTTAGACTCACTGGAGGCTGGAGAATAAGGAGATCCCCAAAGACTGTTTAGTTTGATCCCCGAGGATCTAGAAGGTGGGCCAACAGTACAGAGCCTCATTTATTTCTATTCCGTCTGCCACAGATCAGAACTAAAGAGCCTGATCTTTGGATCCATTTCCAAAGACTAATATACAGTTATAAGAAGTTACCAAAAAAAAAAAAAAAAAAAAGGGTCTGGCAGTGGTGGCGCACGCTTTTAATCCCAGCACTCGGGAGGCTGAGGCAGGAGGATCTACAAGAGCTAGTTTCAGGGCAGGAGAGGCTACAGAAAAACCCTGTCTTCAAAAACCAAAAAAAAAAAAAAAAAGTTATAAGGAACTTCTCTGATTTAGACACTACTCTTGGCCACTCCTTCCTGGTCTGTGGTCACCTTAGTCAGGCTGTGGCCGGGCGGCGGTGGCCTTTAATCCCAGCACTCGGGAGGCAGAGGCAGGCGGATCTCTGTGAGTTCGAGACCAGCCTGGTCTACAAAGGGAGTTCCAGGACAGGCTCCAAAGCTACAGAGAAACCCTGTCTCGAAAAACCAAAAAAAAAAAAAAAAAAAAAAAAAACCTTAGTCAGGCTGCGTATAGTGGTTCTCACTTCCTGAAGGGACAGTGGTCAAGAGATGGAGAAAGCTCGGGGTACAGGGACTGGAATTTCCACAGAGAAACATGAACGTATGGAGGTGACTGAAGCACTGCCTGCCACACTGACCCCCTGGAAAGCTGTCTGGGCATAGAGTTCCAAAGAAAACTGAAGAACAGAGCTGAACGGTTACTGAACCAAGGCCAGCAGTGAACAAAGGAATGAACTTGTACGTGCACAGGGAGAGGCTGGAGGGGAGATGAGACTGAAGGGGCAGACATCTCCAGGACTTCAGCCTCATCTAATCATCTTAGCCTGCCTCAAAAAAATAGAGCCTGAGACAACTGGCCAAGTGAGGATTAGAAGGCTTCCTCTCACCTGCTACTCACCTGAATTATAAAGTTCATCTTTATGCATACCAGAAGGCTGTTAGACTTTGCCCGGATCTGCCTCCTACCTCTCCTACCCCTTGCTAGAGATCGCTAGCTTGCTCCAAGCTCTCTATCCCTCTGGCTGTAAGGCTCTTTCGGCAATGTCTCAGGACTGATTGCTCCTCCATCAGGTCTTTGGCTAACTGTAGCGTTCCCAAACGATTTAAGAACGCTCAACACTCACTTTATCTGCTTCACTTTTGTGGGTTTGTTTTCGTAATATCTATCACAGTTCCTCATGATTTTTAACTCTTTTGTCAGTCTTCGGTCCTTTTAGAAGGAGGGTGAGTTGCCACAAGGAGACATTTATCCAAGTCTTGGAACATTTTTGTTGTAACAAAACAGGGCTATGGGTATTACTACCATCCAGGGAACAAATCCAGAAACGCTAAAATACACAGGACTCTAGAGGCAGAATGCCTAGGTCTCGAAACCGCGTACCAGATGAGCTTATCAGTTTCGAATCCTGTTCCCTGCCGACTCTCCGGAGCCTAGGATACTTTCTGGCACACAGGCAGCGCTCAATAAATGCAGGAGAGCAAAAGGAAAGAGTGAAGGAAAGGAGTGACAGACTGGTCTGCGGAGTCAAGCCGACTTACGGATGCTGAGACCCCAGCTGTCTCAGTCCCGCCCCCCCAGGCTAGGCCCACGACCACTCGTGACGCGCCCATGCCAGCCCGCGCCCCGCCGCACAGCACGGAAGAACGAGTCCCAGGTCCAGTGCGCAGCGCGCACACTCACCCGCCCGCGGCTGCCTGGGAGCAGCGGCTACACCCTCCGGCATCATCTTGCCCCCTCCGCCCGCGGCCCGGAAAGGTACGAGATACAGGAGCCGGAAAAGCCCGGGCGCTGCGCACGTCGGAACTTGTAGTTCACGGACTCCCGGAACTCCGGCGGCTGCATCACACTTTGAGTTTCCTAAACTACGACTTCCGGCGACCTCGGCACTGCAGGACCGGATTGGTGACTTCTGAATCACTCTATGTTGCAGACCGAAATTTAATTGGCTAAGCCCACTCGTCGCTCATGTACTCAATGGTTCTACAGAGGGGCTGATCTTCGAGCGACCCAAGATACCGCCTCCGAAAGAAAGTCTACGATGTGATTGGCGGAAACTGCCTGACAGCTTGAAGAGCATATCAGCAGCGAAGGAAGGTGGGCTCTTCCTCAGACTGCCCAATCACATAAGGGGCAGTTCTATAAACGCTTGCGCCTCGGCTGCGGCCGTTCTTTTGGGAGTTGGTACCGTAGTGTTTGTTCTGGCTCTGTGAAGCACGTTTTACCGGCTTTGGTCGCCTAGAGGAACTGGAAGGGCCTCTCAACTGCAGGCCAACCTTCTTCGAGTGCTGCGGTGGTCTGGGCCCTGCTTTCCCCCTCAATCTTCTGACATTTTTGCAGGTAAGACTAAGTCGGGCCTGGTTTTCCTTTGCAGCACCAAGCCGATGATGAATTGCTTTAATTTCTGACACCTCGTATGAAAACTGCATGTGCAGTCTGATTACATTACAGGGCTGAGGCTTGGGGACTCTGCCTTTAGGTGGAAGGGCTGGAAATGAAAAGTTACCAAAAGTAAAGATTTCTGTTTCTTGTGACTTTCAGGGCATGGTGAGTCGGCTGCTTCCAGAATCAGCAACGGGCAGGAGGGTTTGCTGGTAAGCTGCGTATCTGTATTCGAATTGCTTAAGCAATAAAGAGAAAATGCAACCGCAATCTTCGTTCCAAATGTCATTATTTCAGGCATGTACTGTAGAGGCCCTCGTGCACACCGTGTGCAAAGGGCGAACCGTGAAAGTAAGGCCTCCGGGTTTTAGAACTCTGCGGTAGGATGAGCTCTTGGCCTGTCTTGTTTCAGTAATTGGTTGTGGGCCACTCTAATCTTGGTAATCCAGGGTCCATGGGGGATTTATTTTGAGGGTGTTTGCACATATGGAAGTCAGAATAGCCCATAGGAGTCAGGCTTATTGTAGGTGCCTTTACCCCCACTAAGCCATCGTGCTGGCCCTGGAAGATAACTTTACACAAATGACACAAACTCCAGAAAAAAAAAAAAACCTTTATTGACTTTATGATGACGGTGTTTCACTCAGGTTTGTGACTTGGTGACACGTGGAAGGGACTGGGCCAGCATGCCGAGTGGTAACTTGGTTGTGTCCCGGCATAGCTGTGATTTTCCTACATGCTAGTATCCTCTTAAGAGTGAACTAGAAGCAGGCTGCTGTAGCCTTGGGGCTAACAAATGGACGACAGTGATGAAGCCCTCTTTCCTGGCCGGCGTCCTGCATGGGTAGTGTGCAATAAACAATGGCTTAGAAGCTAGGCATTGTATAGAATGCTCTCTGCTGCAAGTGCCCAGGAGAGGGCGGCAAAGTGCCGTGGCATGGTTTGTACGCTGTAAGACCATTTCTGTGGTAGCCGCTGGGGCAAAGGGGGCTAGCATTAGCCTCAGTCTTGGAAATGGGAACACTTGGGCCGTCACTGGGTCGAGTCAAGCCCATAGGCTCCCGCACAGCTCTCCAAGGCAGTGTTGCTTCCAGGTTCAAGGCCGACAGCAGGATACCCCTCGACCCTCCCTCTTGATGTAGTCGTGAAGTCTGAAGTGTGGTTCATTGGGAGCCTTTGTGGATCGCTGTTTTAACTCCCTGAGGAGCAGGGGTGACAAGAGTACAATGTAGCACCTCTTCCAGGTTTATTGCCTGGATCATAAGGACCATGTTTGTTCACTATCAGGACTTACTTTGCTATGGCTGTGAAAGCCAAGTCCACGTTTAGGCCGGTCTTTGCGCTGGTTTCCATGAAAGGTAGCCCATACTCCTGCAAAGAGCTGCTGGCAGTTGCGTGCTGACCAAATAGCAGGCAGCCCGAGTGTTACGGCCTTGAGGACACCTCACCACCCACCCCGTTTGGACTCACCTTGGCTAATTTCTCCCCATCTTCCCTCTTTACCACACGTTCTTGGGTAGAGTCGACCTGACCCAGGCACAGAAATTCTGTTAGTGCCAGTCCATGGCTTGCCCTGTTGGGCCGGGCTGGAGGTAGCAGGTTTAGATTCCCACCTTATTCCCCAGCAGCATGAGCACCACATCCCTCTGGGCGTATTCCTGGATCTCCGTCAGCCAGGCCTGTGTGGGGAAAGCTGGGACCAGTCTCAAGGCTGGTCTTGCCCTCTGGTACCACACTTCTTCAGGTGCCTCTTCCTAGAAGCCCTGGCATGTGTGGAACCGAGGTACCCACCTCACTGGTCCCTTATCCAGGTGATCCTGCTAATGGACCAGATGTTACCCATGCACACTGGCCAGCACGAGCTCAGAGGGGCTCATCAGTTCCTATCTTTCCTAAGAGACCTTGATGCTCTCTAGACAACCCAGCTCCCCCGCCCCCCCCCCACCAGGAAGCCACTGACCTGGATGTTGTCGAAGGAGTCTTTGTTGGTGATGTCATAGAGCAGCAACAGGGCTGGATATGGAAAGTAATGAGAACATCCCTGGGGCCCAGTGGCTCCTTGAACCACCCACATACTTTCCAAGTCACTGCAAGTCACGGGATGCTCACCCCCTGCCCCCATGCCAGTAGATCACCCAGACTCCCTGTGGAGGAGAACTGGCCCCATGTCTTACCATGAGCATCCCGGTAGTAGGCATGGGTGACACTTCGGAACCGCTCCTGACCAGCTGTGTCCCAGATCTGTGGCAACAGGCACTGGTCATACTGCCCAACCTCTCCCTGGTGTCTCCAGCCCCAAACTTGTACTCCTGTAATCTCACCTGCAGCTTCACCTTCATGCCATCCACATCCAGAACTTTATTCTGAAACAGAAGCAGCCAGCAACAGTAAGGATGCCTGCCATCCTCTGGCCTGAGGGCTCCTAAGGTTGAAGTAGGAGAGGGAGTCATGCAAGTTATGGCTGGACCCCCACTGATGGGAGGCTGGGGGACCTCCCCCCCATCCCATTTCTGCAGCACCTCCTGGTTCTCCTGCTCTGAGAACTTAAACCAGCCTACAGGTCACATTTATGTTTAAAATCAGATGTTCCTAGCAGCTGCCTGGTACTCCCTGCCACTGCCTCCTGCATCAACCCCAGGGGGATTCTCTCCAGGTGACCCTGCCTGGGCCCTTCCTGCCCTGATACTAGGTTATCATGGCCAGCTATGTCCACTTTAGGCCCTTGTTTACCCCATTCCCTCCCCCGCCACCGGGTCCCACACAGGTTCCCACTTGCCAAGAGTGTAGTAGCAATATTAGTGTGCTGTTCCTGTTTAAAGACTTAACTGGCTTAAAGTCATCGATGGTACGGATGCTACACTGTGCCCCAGTTTCCCCACCTGTAGATGGGGAGAGGAAGGACAGCTTTAACTTAATGAGCTACTGTGTACACTGAGAACTACACCCCGCCTGGGAGAGCTAATTTCATTTTCCCACCTCTCAATTACTGGGACACCCATTTCTAAGGGGCAGAACTTAATTTAAGCCTGCCTGACCCTATGCTGTGCCCACTGAGCCCAGAACTATGCCTGGTACATAGGCAATATTCATAAATTTGCTATCTGCAAATCTAGACCAGTCCCTTCAAGATGAGCCACCAGGCTGGAGTGCCCACCCACCCGTCACCCCAGAGAGGGGTTGACTACAGGCTGGGACCAGGTGAGGTGAGGCCTGGCTCCCCCTTTCTCCAGAACTCCTGCTGTCAGGGCTTCTAGGTCTCCAGAGAACCAGGCTCATCCATCTGCCTGGTGAGGGAGGATACTCTGCCTTTCCTGCACCCTGAACAGGGGTGCAAACCACACAGCCCTACTTCCCTCACCTTCCACCCAGGAGCCAAGACGAGGTGGGTAGGGAGACCAGGGTGGGCAAGAAACACCTGCTCAAGCTTGTCCTGCTCCCTGGCACTTCTGCCTTTACTTCTTCCAGGACTCTAGGACCTAGAGGGCTTGAGGAAACCTGCAATCCTCAATAAGAAACAGTTCCCACTAGGAGGACCCCCCTTTCTATCCTCAGAATGGGCCTTCCTCCCAACTCCTGCTAACTGGGTCTAATTAAAGGGTGAGAAAAATGCAAATTCAGGACTTGCCAAGAACACACCAGCACCTCAGCACATGAGATTCAGACTGGGCAAGGGGGTTGGGAGGCTCTTGATGGCTGGAGCTCCAAGGACCCTGCCTGGGATCCTAAGGAGGTCTCTTCCAAGCTGCACTGCATTGTAGGAACTAGAGAGTTCCCAGTACCTCCCATGGCCTTGGGTGCCCTCTTTGGTGGGAAAGCAAGTGAGCTAGCGGCCTTGAGATCCTCTCACTGTCACTACCCTAGGGCACGGCATCAGCCGTGGGCACAGGTATAGCTCAGCAGAGCATCAGCCCGTGCTAAGAGTAGAACTCTGCTGCAGCTGGATGCAGTTAGGAGGCTTCCCCAGGACCTTCAGATATTGGGAAGCAGCTGGTTTAATAGCTAAGCTCTCATCCCCTGGGACTATGGACACATCAGCGATGGAGAGCCAGCTGGGAGGACTATGTATAAGAACCATAGAGTACAGCTGGACACAGTCAGAGCTCAGGACATCAGTCTCCATTCTCACCCGGAAGTCGATGCCCACAGTGGAGATGAAGGTACCAGCCAGGAAAGCCCCATCCTTGAAGCGCACAAGCAGGCAGGTCTTCCCCACACCAGAATCCCCCACCAGCATGACCTAGAGCAGACAGGAAGGTCAGAGAAGTCAGGCTAGGAGATGAGGGCCTTGCCCACCTACAAAGATCCTTCTGGTCAGTCTTGAGCTGTGGGGGAGGGGCAGAAGAGATGCGTGTTCCAGGCCTGTAGGTTCAGCATAGCTTGGGGAAACATAGCAGCCATGGTCCCAAAAGCTTGGATGCCCAGTTTCTCTGCCCCTGCTAGTCCCATGTCACCTCTCCCTCCAACAATGCCACCTCAATTAATGGGGAGTGAGGACCGCTGTCCCCATCCAAGATCTTACCTACCCCTCCTCCATAGACATCATGCTTGATCTGGGAGGGCAGCATTTGGGGCCTATGGGGAGCACAGCATGAGAATGCAGCTGGAACCTCCTAAGAGACCTGTGGGGACTCAGTGCCAGGGGCTTCTTCAATTCCAGCAGAGACACAAATCTCAGCAGCAAGGCTCAGTAGAGGCTAAACAGTCAGCTTTTGAAGTGAAGAGGGGCTAGGGATAATCTGGAGGCCTAAGAGGCAGACTGGCGAAGTCTCTCCCTCCCCCCACCACCCCTGCTGACAAAACCTCCAAAACCCTCTGCCTTCAGAGGTCAAAGTCACACAAGCTTCAGTTTTGGACTGGGGTGGCCCTCTTCCTCCTCCCTCCCAGAAAAAGACTAACAGTCCTTGGGGGCGAGGGAAGGCAGCATATGGATGGGAACTAATGAGAGTGAGCACCGATAGGGCCCAAAGGTCGGGGAGGGACAGCTTCAGGACTCTGATCTTTCAGAACCCCTTGCTTGGTCGGTCTCACAGTAGGTGGAGTGGGGACAGGCCCTGCCAGCTGTTGAATATCCCAGACCCGAGCCTAATAGTTCTGTGTGTGTGTGCGTACACGCGCGCGTGTGCACGCGCGCGACAATGTAAGCCGATGCCTAGCTAGCTGTGAGGTGTTGCTCTGGCCAGTTCAGCAGCCAGGGTCCGCACCGCCCTGCCACTCTTCCCCAGAGGCCTTTCCAGTAGTCTAGTATCCAACGACACCTGCTGCACTCCCATGGCGGGGAGGCGCCTAGCTCACCTTGAAAGCAACGTCGTATAAGTCTCCAGTGCCACCAAGTGAGGGCCGGCCGGACTGCGGGGGCCCGTTGGGCAGCGCCTCCGAGCCAGGACAAGGAGTCCTGGGATGTGCCAGACGGGACCGGTTGGCGGCGGTGGGCAGCGTAGAAGCAGCAGGCACACTCCCCCCCTTGCTCTTAGGGGTCTTCTTCCTGGACATGATTCTCAGTGTGCTCCTCCTGCTGCCACCACGCCCTGGGCCGTCCCACACCCGGTGCTGGCCAAGTCAGACTCGGACCCGAACCCGTCCCACAGCAGCAGCCGAAACAGCAGCGGTAGCAGCATCTCCAGCACTCGGCGCCTGCCCCGCCCCCGCCTCCCTGGCGGCGCAGCCACTCAGGCTCGGCCTCCCGCCGCCGCAGCCAATGGCCACTCTGGGGCGGAGACATGCAAATAAGCCCGCCGCTCCGGGGGCGGAGTCAGGAGGTTCCAGTGTTCACCCAAGAAGCATTCTCTCATGCTCTGTGCTAAGATTCAAGGGCCCCAGCTGTCTACATACAGTGTGAAGAAGCACCAGGATCCAGGGTCTTCTCGGTGCATTTTCTTTCCCCAGCCATCAGTGTCCCAGTTTAGTAATCTAGCTCATTTGATTGGGCCTCAGACCTGGGCCATGGGTGTGTTCTGAGATGAGGGTGCTGGGGCAGAAGGCTTGTATGTTTAGGCAGCCTGAGATTCTGTTTCTTCCCAGCAAGAGATGCCAGCCACCTGACCTACTTGTTCTCAATGCTGTACCCTCCAGGGCAGGCAGATCCAGGAAGCTCCCACACTCAGGCTTCACAAACAATCCCTGCTATGTCTGAGCACTCTGGGCTCAGCTGTTCTAAGGCACAGTGGGTACAGTGCTCTTCCTCATAGACTTTGCTGCCTGGGCTGAAGCATGGGTATCCAAGCGGGGAAAGGAAGTGAGTATCATAGCCAGCACCAGGCCCTATGAGATAACCCTTGCAAGACCTCTGCCTTGAGAGCCTAGGAGATGGGAGATTGCTTCCCCAGAAGCGATTGGTCCACAGTCTTTCCATCCTAGGTTCCTACCCAAAAGTGGTCAATGTTGATTCTCTTCACCCCAAACTGGTCCAGGACCTGTTATGCCCACCCCCAGGATCTGACCCTTACCTTTGCTGCCTGGAGGAGCTCTGTCTGAAGCCTTTTACTCAAGATGCTCCAGTATGGAGAATGAGACTTCAGTGATCAGAGGTAAGGTCAGTGGGTGCAGGAGGGCAGTGACCTTGAGGAAGGGTGTTTGGTGTTCCTCTGGAATGGCCTAGCTGTCCTCCAAGATGTGATAGATGTCACCAAAACTCAGGTCTATTGGAAGCCTCCTGAGCCTTCTCAGCTGGCAGGGACCAGAGCATAAATAATTCACTCCCTCTGGGGCTCAAGGCCTAGAAGGACCCTGAAGGAGAAAGCATACCGTCTAGAGTATTTCCTAGACAGGGTCTGGCTTTGGTCTGCCCAACAGAGGCCTTGGGAAGCTTCCCTGCATTGACTGCTGTCCTGTGAGAGGTGTGCTGGTCTCTGTGGTGGGTCCTGCTACAGTCCCCAATGGTCTGATGGGGAAACTGAGGCCCAGGAAGGCATCAGGAGCTGCTGCTCACGATCACCATGCTAGCACACGGCAGAAATTAGGCCGCTCTTGGGCTCTGTCACCCTGTCCTGTGTCTTGGCCTCACCCTTCAGGGGCCTGTTATTGTAGTGCAAACCCAGGTCTCCTTTCCTCGTCTCCCCTCACCGACCTCTAACCTCTTTCAGACCAGTCTAGAGATCTGGATGTCCTGACTCTCACTGCTGCCTTCCCTGAGGATGCCGGATTTCCCGCTCTCACAAAGCCAACCTCAGGACAACTGGCCCAGGATCTCAGCTGGGGACCTCAACCGCCTGTGCCTACTTGCTCTAGGAAGTAGAGCATACAGCCTCCATCCAGCTACTGGCCAGAATAAGCCCAGAACATGGGATGAAAACAGAGTTCAAGTTCGGATGCTCTGGGGCAGAGGCTGCAAGTGGGAAATTCTGGGTGTGAGTAGTGAGGACAGGGGAGGCAACCAGGACGAAAGAAGAAGGTACAGGGGAGCTAGAAAAGGGGGGAGGGCATCAGAGGAGGATCTTCCAGACGCAGAGGAGATAGACTTGCCTTTAAAATGAGGAGCATTTACATAAAATCCAGCTCTCTGCTGTCTCGTGAGAAACCTCTAGCCCCAGATCTCTCCCCTCCCCACAGTTCAGCTCATCTTTGATCGTTATATCTCATGGCTCCTCTGTTCCCATCTGTTTCTCACCCAGGATTGTAAGCTTTCCTGGGCACAGGAAGCAGCTTGTCTTGGTCACTGCCATATCCCTGGCAGCCAGCTCCTGGCCTCAATAAGCAGTTACTAAATTGGTGAAAGAAATGTAAGTTAGAAAGTAGGCATGGTGGCACATGCCTTTAATCCTTGTACTTCAGAGGCAGAGGCAGGCGGATCTCTGTGAGTTAAAGGTGAGCCTGGCCTACAGAGTGAGCTCCAGGCCTGTTAGGACTACATAGTGAAACTTCCATGTGGAACTTTGAACCAGGCAAAGATGTGCTACATTTGTTTATGTTGCAGAATATTGTGTAACTATGTAAAGGTGGGTTACATTTGTTTACACTGCATTTGTTTAATAATGTGAAGATGTATTGCTTTGGCAGCCTATAGATACCTGATTGGTCTTATAAAAGGCTGAATGGCCAATAGCTAGGTAGTAGAGTGATGGGTGGGGCTGGAGGACAGAGAGAATAAATAGGAGGAATCTAGGATCAAGAGGACAGAGGAGAACCAGGCCATGGTGGCACACGCCTTTAATCCCAGCACTCGGGAGGCAGAGGCAGGAGGATCTCTGTGAGTTTGAGGCCATCCTGGTCTACAGAGTGAGTTCCAGGACAGGCTTCAAAGCTACAGAGAACTCCAGACAGACAGACATGGAAAAAGCAGGACAAGTATGACATACAGAATAAAAAGAAAAGGCCTGGAGGCAAAACACAAATGAAGAGAAACATGTTAAAAAAGTTATAAGAGCTATTGGAACAAGCATAAGATAAGGCCAAGCATTCATAATTAATATCAAGTCTCCATATCATGATTTTGGGAGCTGACGATCCAAGAAAGCCTGTTGCAAAAATCCCGTCTCAAAGTTAATTAAATAATTAAAATAAAAATAAAGAGTTGGGTAGGTGGGGAGCATACTTTTAATCTCAGAACTTGGGAGGCAGAGGCAAGTGGATTGAGGCTAACCTAATCTACAGAGTGAATTCCAGGACAGCCAAGGCTATATTAGGCCCTGCCTTAAAATACAAAACAGCATCAAAAGAAGACAACTAATTCTTTGGTATTTGTCCCAGTAATAGAGTGACTGGGTCTATGTCTCCTGCCCTTGAATCTGAGCAATAGCAATGATACAACAGAAGCAACCCCAAGTTTCTTGTGTCCTGAGACAGGGGTTTCCAGAATTAGAAGACACCCAAGCAGCCGGAGGAGAGCAACTAACTAAGCCAGATCTCTGACTGATACACAAACTCAGTAGATGATGTCATGTAGAACAGGGTTTTGCTATGTAGTTCAGGCTGGCCTCAAACATAATCCTCCTGCCTCAGCCTTGCAAGTGCTGGGATTATAGCAGGACACCAGGCCCTTCCAGAGAAGAGCCTTTTAAGCCATGGTTTATTTGGGAGATGTTTGTGGCAATAAATAACTAAGACAGCTCAGAGCAAGCTCGAGGGAAGGGGCCAGCCTGGTGAGAAAGGGTCACGAGGGAGTGACTGCCTCAGTCTGGCCTGGAGTCTCCCAGTCTCTTGGAAAGAAGAGCCCTGCTGGCAGGGACCCCCAAGGCAGGGAGTTAGGACTGGCTGTATGCCCCTGGGAAGTGTGGTCCAGCCCTCAGCCTCAGAATGCAAAGATGGCTCCATGCAAAATAAATAAATTAAAATAAAAATAAAAAAGGTGCACATGTCCTTGTCCCCAAACGAATGGTCCTTGAAACCTCACCTCTTACTTACAGCTCAGACTTCATGTCCCTCAGCTCCTGAAACCGGTTTTTTTTTTGGGGGGGGGGCAGGGTTTCTCTGTGTGATAACCCTGGCTGTCCTGGAACTCACTCTTGTAGACCTGGCTGGCCTCAAACTCAGAGATTCACCTACCTCTGCCTCCCAAGTGCTGGGATTAAAAAGTATGTGCTACACAGCCCTACTTCCTGTAACCTTCCAGCTGGTCTCTTCTGGGAGGCCGAGCCCATTGACTTGGTGTAGCACGTGCCATGAGTCCCCAGCCCAGCCTCTCTCAGGGTCTCCATTTGCCCTAGGCTTCCAGCTTTACCCCCACCCCAGAATCTGGCCCGTGCTGGAGCACAGTGCTGGAGCACAGTGCAGGCAAGAATGAGAGCCATCTCCTTGACCTCACAGGTTCGGTTTGCCGCCCTGCTTCTACTTGCTGCACCCTGGATGTCCTCCAGTGGCTCCCCAAAGCTAGCTCTGTGACTCCTGTACCCATCTGGGAACTTCCTGAGACAGATCCTAGTCGCCGGTTCCTGTCCCCACTGGCACTGGAGGGACTGGCCTGTGATTAAGCAGCAGAAAGCTAGACTGGGCTTCGGGGGTCCTCTAGCCAGCAAAGGCAGAACTCCCAAAGCTTTTCTCAGACCTCTTCGTGAGGAGCCGGACCTGCAGAGCCCAGCTGCCAGCTATCTAAACGCCTAGGGCAGAGGCCCCTTCTTACTGTGTGACCCTGGGTATTTGGCATCGCCTCTCTGGACCTACTTCCTGTTCTGTGAAATGTGGAGGAGGAGTTGATCTCCAAGGGCCCTTCCTGCTCAAACACCTTATGTTCTATGAAATCTTTGTGAAAGTTGCCATGGAAACGTCAGAAGAACTGCAACAGCCCTGAATTATATGAGAGAGAGAAATAGAGAATTGAGAACGGGAGTCACCCTAGAAAGCAGGTGATGTCAGATGTATGTTGACTCTGGCACCCAGATGTAAAGGGGCCTCATATATTCTTCTCCTGAAAAGAGAGCCCGAGTATCCTGCTCATTTCATGGCCCTAATATCCTGAGGCTGGGAGCAGAGGCTAGTGAGCCTCTGCCGGTAACTCCTTTGCAGGTTAAGGCGACAGTGGTTTGCTCTGCAGAGCTGTTTCTCCAGAAACGAAGGTGAGCTTCTGCACAAGTCACATTCCCAGGGCTGGGGTGTAGCTGAAGCTGAGCTGTCATTTAGCACTCAAGAGGCCCTGGATTCCATCCCAAGCACTGAAAATAAAAGTCACATTCTTTAT